ATGGTTAGATAAAGCTTAGCAGCTCAGTCACTGTCTCAGAGAAGCTTATTTCTTTTACAATTTTCCCTAGTTTTACTACTTTTATTGTTTTTGTTCCTTATTATTATTTTAATGAATCTTGCAGGAATAATCTCACTTCTGGCATATGTCTATCCCTAGCTGATGAGATTTTGTTTTTATCATCTAGGAGGTTATATAATAATGGAAACTCTATAGGGCACTGGCCAGGGTTAGAGGAATAAAATCAAGAAAGAGTATTTGTTGTTTAAGAAAGCAAGGGAAGAAAAGGTTTCCAAAAGAAACAAAATCTTCAATGTTATCAAACGTCTCATGGATACAGAATAAGACAGGACTAAAAAGGAATCCACTTGATTTTGCATTCATTCTAATACATTCAACAAATATTTGTCAAGTAATATCATGTGAATAAAATCAACATGATTCATCCACTTACACAACTTGCAATCTGCTGATGGTTACAGAAATTCAATGAATAACCTCACAAATAAATAAATTTATTTAAAAACCATGATAATCTCTAGAAAGGAAGAGAAAAATGGTATTCTGAGAGAGTTTAATAGGGAGACCTATTTTTCATTGATAGGTAAGTGAAGGCATCACTGAGAAAGTGAAATTTAAGCTAAGACTTGAAGAAGAAGCAGGAGAGAGGCAGGCAGCGAGTGGGAATAAGACGGAGCAGCAAGTGCAATGGTCCTGAAGCTGGAAAGAGCATGGTAAATTCAAAACACTGAAAAACAAACAAAATGTGGCTGAGGTGTAACTAGTAAGAGGCCAAGCAGCAGGAGGTGAAAGTAGGGGTGGTGGGCAGGTGCCAGACCAGACAATGCCTTGTAGGTAATGGTAAAGTGCTTGCTGTGGATTAAATATCCCCAAAACTCACTGAAGCTTGATCCTCATTGTAGCAGTGTTAAGTGGGTAGAAAATCAGACTATGGCAGTGTTGAAAGGTAGGGCCTTTAAGAGGTGATTGGATCATGAGAACCCTGCCCTCATGAATGGATTAATCCACTAACGGGTTAATGGTTTAATGGGTTATCAGGAAGTGGTTCTGATGGCTTCATAAGGAGAACAGTGAGATTAACTCTCTTGCTCATGTCACACTTGCCATGTGATAGATACCCTGGTTGCCATGGGACTCTGCAGATTTCCCACCAAGAAGAAGATCCCTCACCAGATGTGTTCCCTAGATCTTGCGCTTCCCAGCCACCAAAACTGTAAGAAATAAATTTCTTTATAAATTTCTCAGTTTCAGGTCTTCTGTTATAAGCAACAGAAAATGGACAAATACACTGCTATAGAACAGTACTGATGTTTTAAGTAGATAAATAATATGATACAATGCAAATATGCTCTAGGGACGTCACACTGAGGGCTAGGCCGAGAGTGATTTGGAGAAGGCCAGAAGTTAAGAAAAACAAACTAACAATATATTGTGATGGTTAAAGAGAATGACAATGCCGGTTTGGGCTAGGGTGGTTTGGTACAGATGGAGAGGAGATTTCATGCACATTTTAGATGCTATTAGGAGGTAGTTAATGACCATTCCTAGATCAATTCCAATGCATTATTTAAGATAGAATCCCGATTGTCATTGGTTGAACCGTGGATGAGAGGTTAGGAAGTAGAAAGCAAAAGGAGACGAATGTTTGAAAAAAACTAATGCTAGGAAATGGAGAGAGGGCAGCAGATAGTAGGGACTTGAGGGTCAATGAAGTATTTTTATTCATCCATCCGTCATCTATCTATTCATTCTCAGGCAGCAAGGGGTTTAAGTTTTTTTTTCCCTGAAGAGAAGGGCAGAGTGGTGACTGACTAATTAAAGAGGCAATAGAACTAACAGAAGTAAAGTAGATAAGAGATATTACTGTCCTAAAATGGGCAGGGGATAACGATGCCCAAAACAGAGGTAAGAAAAAGGTAAGAAAATTAGCATACAGTACAGCATCTCTCTCCCTCTCTCTCCTCTCCTCTCCTCTTCTCTCTCTCTCTCTCTCTCTCTCTCTCTCTCACGCGTGCGCGCCCCAGTAGGGCACACTGATTAAAGGCACTGGCTATGAATTCAGACTGCCTGGGTTTGAATTCTGCATCTACTATTTACTATGTAACCTTGGACAAAATACCTAGCCTTCCTTGGCCTTGGTTTCCTCATCCATGATATGGAGCTAATAATAGTGCCAACCTCCTAGGGTAGCTGTGAAGAATACAAAAGATGGTGCAAGTAAAAATGCTTAGCATAGAATCTGACACAGTAAGTACTCAATATACTTTTGTTTCTATCAATAACAACAGCAACAATAATGTTAGTAATAATAATTGAGCACTTCTTTTTCTGACGTTTGACAGAGAATGGGCTAATAAAAGATATGACTAGAGATAACTTTGTAGGTTGAAGAGATACTGGAGGTTCTGAAATCAAAGTGCTTTCCTTTTTTCTCTGGCAAGTCAGAGGTTAGGTTGTTTGTGGTAAATGAAAAGTGTGGGGAGGAGATGGATAGAAAACTTGAGGAAAGCAAGTAAGATACAGTACAGCCACTATGGAAAGATGAAAGGCTACTGAATGGGAAGCGAGTGAAATAATTGCTGAAATGGCAATGGGAGTCCCATTAAGACAAAAGCTAAAATGTTCACCAAAGGGAATAGGCAGAAAGCAAGCCAGAGAGTTAGAGGCAGAGTAAGAATGCTCAGGAGCTTGATTTTTATTCTATAAATTCAGGGAGATACAGAAGGTTTTTGACATAGAAATCATACGATAAGTACAGATTTTAAAGAACACACTAACAGTGCCAGCGGAGGAAGAGAGCAGAGGCTGGGAGCCTCTCTCCTTAGTGCAGATGACTCCATATATTCTCAAAGTTGTCCTTACTGTAGGCTGTTGATACATATTTAAGGGTTTAAAAGCACTGAAGTGCATTCACACAGAAGTGAATTTAATTTAAGTGTACACCTGGAGAAATATGTTTTAGCAAAAGTTTTACTTTTACAAATCTAAAATATGCCATTTTTTTAATCCCAGGCTCACACTTAAGTTTAATAATTGTCCTGTAATTCAATTCAATACACATTTATTTACTGTCTATTTTATATAAGATACTGTTCTGAGCACTGCAAAGCATACATGTTTAAAAGACTAAGGCATATCATTATTTCAACAATCTTTTCCTCAATGTGAGTTTACTTAACCTTTATTTGGCAAATTCTGACTGATACTGTCTCAGATAACTTATATAGTGTAAACTACTTATAATGTCCTTGCCTTTTTCACCGCACAGACATGTAGCTAAGGATGGTGGGAGTAAATAAGAAGACTAGGTGACTTCATGCACACACAGCCACAGAATTATTTATGGTTCTGTGCATGAACAAGAAATCTCTTCCATTTTCTATTTTGCTTTTAGTTCAGAGGTATACTGCATTTTATGTACCCAACCTTCATTTCCTCAGTGTGGTACCAAGGATATTCCTCTTGAAGGACTTGCTTGGCAAACTAATGCATCTTCCAAGATAAACTGCATTCAGAAAAAAAAAATGGCTTCAGAGAAATTGTGTAGTGTACCTACTGTAAAACTCATAACCATCACGACACAGCTGAATTCTCAAATGGTATACAGCTTTGCTTCAATTATAATATGAATCCAAGTAGCTTAGGTATTGAGTACGGACTTTGGTCTAGAAAAATCTTATTATTTAATATTGTGCTGAAGTACTACTAGTAAATAAAAAATATCTAGGTAATTCAGATGATTAATTTGCCTGATTCAAAAATAAGAGAAACACCTTCCTCAGGTACCTTTATAATCTCTATCTGATCCCAAATATATGTACATTCCTGATTTTCTTTTCAAGGATTTGACAGAATCATTCTACATCAGTGTAGGCAGTGCTGTGTCTTACGATTAATAAGCTCTAAATATGGGCAAGCAGTTATTTGCACATGCTTAAAAGGAACATGCTTGGTCCCACCTACCACAGTTCGACTTTAAAAAGGATTTTTTAATTCCAAAGTACCAAATCAGATAAATTATGATATATTCCTATTAAAAAGGTTATAAAATATTTTGGATAAAGCAGACAGTCATGTTTGACTATTAGGTCCACCGGTAATTCAAAATTTCTTAGTATGTGGACAGAAAATGTTCAGAGAGCCAGGGTAAAGCTGGCAACTATAATGGAACTGTATATTCATACAGCAAACAAACTTGTGTTGAACATCTAAGCTAAAAATAGCTTTTTCCTTAAAGAAATTAAATAAATCAAGATGCCCTCTTTCTTGCCATTCTTTTGCGAATTATTTGAATAGCAGGTTTGGGGAATAATTCAAATATATAACTATATTCTTTAATACATAACTTATACCTACTCATCTTTTGTACCCCTTAAAATGAAGGATAGATAAGGAAAAATAATAATCCATTCCAACAATAATTTAGCCACATAATGATTTAACTGCATGATGTGTATTTATAAGATTTTCTTTCCACCTGAAATAGTACATTTCAAGCTTTCAATCAATGACACTGTATAGGAAATCTGAAAATTATTGTGCTTTTTCGGACACAATATACACCACAGAAAAGAGTCCCTGTTATTTTGCTATTTGTCTAGTTATTACCCTTTTATCTTAGCCTAAGTTTTGGGGGTCCAGATTCTAACATCAAGATCTAAGTAGAAGGAAAAATATCTGATAGAATACTGTATATTATTTTGCATGTATTAATAATATTAAATATCAACACTGTTATAAAGAAGATTCTATGAGATGTCCTGAGTTATTTTGTGAATGTAAAAATTAATTTCATTATTTTTCAGTACCATGACAAATAATAACAGGTAAAGAAGGATTTATTTTCTGAGAGCCAATATTATATTACATTACATAGGTATAAAGTAACAAAAAAAATCAACAATCAAAATGTCTTTTCACTGTTTCTGACAAGTGTTATCTTCCAGGAGAGTTTGTGGGCCTTTATGCTCAATACATACCACAACTCCAAACTGTTCAGGTTCACAGAGGTCATCATATTCATTCTTAAGCTGTGCTAGTTCATTGAGTACCTTCTGCTCAGGAAGATGTTTTACAAGGTTCTAAGAAAAAATAAAAGGATAAAAGTTTAGTGTTTTATTAATAGGACTTTTAAATAAGCATTAACAATTCTAAAAGTGATTCGCCAGGATAGTAAATGTATGATTGTGGTTCTGTCATAAGTAGCAATGTATCCTCCCTTCCCCTCCCCTCCAAAAACTGACCTAAAAATGAATGCAATGAAATATGAATATAAATGTATAAACTTGTTTGGTTTCTATGCACTGTAGTTCACAAGTGCTATATAAAAAGATAAAATAGGAATAAATGGCATTCCAAAACTGAGTAACCTTCTGGACCTTAAACACATAGCATAATTTTTAAGCTTTATTTCCTGTCACGATCATTAGTCAATCTAAACTGAAAACAGAAAAATATCATGTAGATTTAGCACATGTACAATAATATTAAAAAAGAAAATATCAACTCTAATATTTGTAATTTTTCAAAACTCGGAACCAACTTCAATCTAATAACTATACCTGGCCTGTACAAAAATCTCCCATTACCTACAATGTCTGTATTTAAGTACACAATGCATTTCTACTTTTAAGTGGAGAATCAAGCAGAAGTGATGAAGTTTGATTCCTGTAATGGATTGAATATTTGTGTCCCTCCAAAATTCATATGTTGAAGTCTAATACTCAGTGTGATGGTATTTAGAGGTAGAGCCTTATGGGGGAGTATTAAATCATAAGGGTGGAACCCTCATGAATGGGATTAGTACCTTCTTAAGAAGAGGCTAGAGAGCTAGTTTGCTCTCTTTTCACCATGTGAGGATGCAATGAAAAGTCAGCAGTCTACATCTTGGAAGAGGGCCCTCCCTAGAAACTGACCATGCTGGTACTCTAAACTTGGACTTCCAGTCTCCAAAATGGTGAGAAATAAATTTCTATTGTTTATAAACCTCCCAGTCTACAGTACTTTGTTCTAGCAGTCTGAACTAAGACAATGACTAAAAGAATGAAAACTGATGAATTAATCTTAACTTATATTGGACTTTGGCACAGTTTTAAATCTTATTATATTAGCCTACAACCAACCTTTTGGGGACTTGTATGGGATTCCCAATGACACAAAAGGGAGAAAAGCAGAAAACAAAGATTAAAGAAAGTAGGTGCTATGGGTCAAATGTGTTCCCCAAAAGTTCATGTATTAGAAATTTAATCTCTATTGTAATGGTGTTAAGAGGGTAGGAAATTCAATTATGGTATCTGAAAGGTGGGACCTTTTGAAGGTAATTAGATTGTGAGGACTGTGGCCTTGTGAATGGATTAATCCATTCACAGAGTAATGGTCGTGGTTATTATGGCCTTAAAAGGAGAGCAAGTGAGGTTAATTTTCTCTTACTCAGCCCATTCTTGCCATGTGACACTCTGCATTGCTGTGGAGAAACACCACCAAGAACAAGTCCCTCACCAGATGTGCTCCCTGAAGATTGGATTTCTTGACCTCTAAAATTGTAAGAAATAAATTTTTGTTTCTTTATAAATTACCCAGTTTCAGGTATTATGTTATAGGCAACAGAAAACATTCTAATCCAATAGGGCTAATGCAAAATAGTGGAGAAGTTAACTCCAGGGATTGGTCCTTTTAGCAAATTAACCACTGAGCTGGAAAGAGTAACTGGAATAAACTATTTCAAAATCTGTAACTAGACTGGATGTTGCAACAACAAGAGCAATGTTTGATGAAGGGACATGCTGCTGTTTTCTAGTAAGAGAGCAACATGCATGAAACAGCTCCTGGAAGTGTAGGGCAATGTCAGGGTGGGCAGTGGGATCTTGTTCTCCAAAAGTTTGAGGTTGTACATTTTGATTGGTATGGCATTTCCATGAGGGGACTGTCTTGGTTTCAACCATCTTGGGCTACAGCAACTGATGAGCTGATGACATCTATCAGAAGATTTAAACAGACAAAAACATCTCCCTGCTCTGCCTTTAAGGAAATCTTTTTCAGGTCACTAGCTAACAGCAGAAATAACAAAATGCAAACTTCAAAATACAACATGGAACACACATTTCACAAAAATTATTTGGAAAAGTCACCAGTGAATGGTTATAGCGCCCAACAAACAAAAATCAGCAATCTGTAAGAATGGCAGACTCAGAATTCGTGAGTTACCACATTATAATACGCGGAATTTCTCGTTCTCAACAAAAATTACATAGCATAAAGAGAAACAGTAAAGTAGAGCCCATGCAAAGTAAAAAACTAATTCAGAAGAAACTATCCCTGAAGAAGACAAGACATTGGAGTTACTAGTCAAAAACATTACATCAACTGTCTTAAATATGTCCAATGAACTAAGTATACTATGGAAAAACAACTAAAGGAAATTAGGAAAACAACATATGAACAGAATTTATTAATAAAGAGGTAGAAATTATAAAAAGGAACAAAATGGAAATTAGAGAAATGAAAAGTACAAAAACTGAAATGAAAAACTCACTAGAGGGGTTCAACAGCAGATTTGAGCAGAAAGAATAAAGGATAAGTAAACCTGAAGACTAAGAAATTGAAATGATTCAGTCTGAGGAACAGAAGGAAAAAAGAGTAAAGAAAATTGAGCAGAGCCTGAGGGATTTGTAGGACACCATAAGCATAACAACACATGCATCATAAGACTCCTAGAAGAAGAGAAAGAAAAAGGGACAGAAAAAACATCTGAAGAAATAATGGCTGAAACTTTTCAACTATTATGAAAGACATAAATACATACATCCAAAAAGTTCATCAACTTCATGAGGATAAAATTAAAGTGATCCACACACTGAGCACATTATAATTAAATTGTCAAATCCCCAAAACAAAGAGAGAATTTTTAAAGCAGCAAGAGAAAAGTGACTTGTCACATACAAGGGATCTTCAATAAGATTAATACCTAATTCCTCATCAGAAACCATAGGAACCAGAAGGCAATGGAGTAACATGCATAAGTTTATGAAAGAAAAAACTGTCAACCCCAAATTCTATATCCATCAAAACTATTCTCCTTCAACAATGAAGGAGAAATTAAGACATTCCCAAACAAAGAAAACACAAAACAAAACCAAGATAATTTATCACTAGCAAACCTGTCCTGCAAGAAATGAAAGGACACTAAATATCAAACTGAATTCAGAGCATAAATAAAGGTTTATACACCATGACCAAGTAGGATTTATCCCCAGAATACCAGTGTGGTTCAGTGTACAAAAAATACAAAAACCAATCAATGTAATACACCACATTAATAAAATAAAGAAAAAAATCCACACAATCATTTTGATACAGAGAAATAATTTTATAAAAATCAAACACCCTTTCATGAGAAAAACACACTCTAAACCAGAAATAGAAGAAAGCTTTGTCAAACTGATAAAGCTCATATATGAAAAACCCACAGCTAACATCATATCAATGGCAACAGACTGAAAGATTATCTGCTCAGATCAAGAACAAGACAAAGACGCTTGTTTTCACTACTTATATCCATCATAACATTAGAAGTTCTAACACGAGCAATTAGGCAAAAAGGAAATAAAAGGCATTCATATTGGAAAAGAAGTAAAATTATTTCTGCTCACAGAAGACATGAATAGAATGTAGAAAACACTAAATAATCCACAAAAGAACCTGTTAGAGCAAATAAATAAATTTAGCAAAGTTGCAAAATACACAATCAACATGCAAAAATCAGCTGCATTTCTATTGATTAGCAACAAACAATCTTAAAAGGAAATTAAGACAATAATTTTATTTACACTAGCATCAAAATAGCAACCACAGTAAAATACTATTTCATACTTACGAGAATGGTTATTATTTTTTAAAAAATGGAAAATAAGTGTTGGCCTGAATGTGGAAAAATAGGAACCATTGTGCATTGCTGAGGGGAATGTAAAACCGTGCAGCCACTGTGGATAACAGTTTGGTTGTTTCTCAGAAATTAAACACAGAATTTCCACATGACCCCACAATTCCACCCCTACTGTGATAATTATGTATCAATTTGCCTGGGCCAAGAGGTGCCCAGATTGAACGTTATTTCTGGGTATGTTTGTAAGTATGTTTCTGGATGAGATTAGCATTTGAATTGGTGAATTCAGTAAACTAGACTGACATCCCCAGTGTAGTTGGGCATCATCCAATCTGTAGAAGGCTTGAGGAGAACAAAAAGGCAAAGGAAGGATGAATTTACCCCTTTTGCTTCACACCTGCCTGCTTGAGCTAGGGCACTGATCTTCTCCTGTCTTCAGACTGAGATTTACACCACTCGCTCCCCTGGTTCTCAGGCTGTCATACTCAGGACTCAGACTGGAATTACACCACTGGCTTTCCTGGGTCTTGAGCTTGTAAATGGCAGATTGTTTGACTTCTCAGCCTCCATAGTGGAGTGAGTCAATTCCTCATAATAAATCTCTATATATACATATATGCTATTGGTTCTCTTTTGCTGGAGAATCCTGATTAATACACCTAGTATGTACACAGAATAACTGAAAACAGAGATTCAAACAGATACTGTACACAAATATTCATAGCAACATTATTTAATATCCAGAAGGTAGAAACAACTCAACTGTCTATCAACAGATGCACTGATAAAATGTACTATATATATACATTGGAATATTAGTCATAAAACAATGAAGTTTTGATATATGCTACAACATGGATAAGCGTTGAAAACATTTTGCTTAGTGAAATAGACACAGCAGGACAAATACTGTATAATTCTATTTATACGAGGTCTGTAGAATAGGCAAATTTTTACAGACAGAAAGTAGAATAGAGGCTACCAGGAGCTGGGGAGAGAAGGATATAAGGAGTTATTACTTAATAGGTATAGAGTTTCTGTTCAGGATGATGAGAAAGTTCTGGAAATAGTGGTGATGTGTTGTACAACAATGTAAATGTATTTAGTACCACTTAATTATACATTTAAAATGGGTAAAATGATAAATTCTCTGTTCTATATTTTCCATAATAAAAAAAGGAGGGTAGGCAACATAGCACA